GAAAAGACAAGATGTTTAAAACTTTTCCAGTTTCTATTACATTTTTTTGAGTTTCAAATCTTTTTATTTTGTTTCAAATTATTTTTCAGTTTTAAATTTTTTTTTTTTCAGTTTCAAAATCTTATTAATTTGAACAAATTTCTGGCCCCAATCTATCTCCACAATTGTGTCCCTTAAAATCTGGATTTGATTTCTGAGTGAAAATCCAGCTGATGGATCATGAATTGGTTTTTCAGTRTGACAATGAGTATTTTGTAAAATATCATAGCCTCAAGCATAGCATAGATACAGTGTATATATACATATATATATATATATATTTCAGCTGCTAGACCAGGGTCATTCAACTGGTGGCCCATGGGCGACATCCGGCCAGCGAGTGACCAAAATTCGGCCCACCAATTAGTTAATTCATCTCTTAAAACCCCTTAGYAGTTGGCCCTAAAATTTCTTTAAAACCTTTTGACATTTTTTCATCATTTATTTTTTTATCACTTGTTTCTAAAAAGTTATCAATCGGAGGAAGCTGACTCCTTGGTTTAATTCAGAGTTACATTCTTCAAAAACAGGAATCTAAAAACTGGAGAGAAAACGGTGTTCCACTAACATAGAAWAATTTCATTTAACCTGGAGAGACAGCCTGCTAACATACAAGAAAGCCCTTCGTAAAGCTAGAACTGTATATTATTCATCTTACACTCATGGGTGTTATTCATGTACTTTGGTTTCCTCCGACAGACCAAAAAACATGCATGTTAGGTGAATTGGCAACACTAAAATGCTACTGTCTCTGATRCTCTGTCAGATGAGGCAGCTTTAGTGTCACTAGAACCTGATTTGTGTCTGGACAGTTTTTGTCCTGTTGAGCTCTTTGAATTATCTAAAATAATAGCTTCGTCCAAACCATCAACATGTCTGCTAGATCCTGTTCCAGCCAGACTGTTCAAAGAAGCATTTCCCTGTATTAATATCCATATTTTAGCTCTACTTAATTTATCTCTAATGAATGGTTATGTGCCACAGAGCTTTAATGTTGCTGTAATTAAACCTTTACTTAAGAAACCTGATCTTGATTCAGGAGTTCTGGCCAACTATAGACCTATTTCTAATCTCCCATTCATCTCAAAAATTATTGAGAAAATAGCTGCAAATCAACTATGTGAACATCTGGATAGAAATAATCTATATGAGGAGTTTCAGTCAGGGTTTAGACCTCATCATGTCACAGAAACAGCACTGGTTAAAGTTACTAATGATATTCTCATGGCCTCAGACAGTGGACTTGTGTCCATTCTTGTCCTGTCAGACAGTGGACTTGTGTCCATTCTTGTCCTGTTAGATCTCAGTGCTGCATTTGATACAATTGATCACAATATTTTATTACTTGAACTTGATATTGGGAATACAGGAACAGCTCTAAAATGGTTTGAATCTTATTTAACTGACAGATTTCAGTTTGTTAATGTTAATAA